GTTAACACAAACATATTTTTTTTAAAAAAGGTCCAATTCTCGAATATGTATTCGAGAAGACCAGTTTTCGAATATATATTAAAAAAAGCAGTTTAGAAAAATATAATTTTAAAGTTGACCGTGAGCTGAAAGTTAGCTTAAGGCAATATTGCTACTAAATTTATACTTCCAGAGCGACATTGAGACCCAAAAAACTTCAAACACCCATAGCTCCTACATGAACACTTCCAGAGTAAAAATACCTTATCTCAATTGATTGAGGTCTAGCTAAAGATTGTAATGGTATGAGGTGCATTTTTACCCTGGAAGTGTTCATGTAGGAGTTATGGGTGTTCTGAAGTTTTTTTGGTCTCAATGTTGTCCTGGAAGTGTAAATTTAGTAGCAATGTTGCCCCGAGTTAACTTTCAACTCACAATCAACATTAAAATTATCTTTCTTTGAACTGTTTTTTTTAAATATATATTCGAGAACTGCTCTTCTCAAATACATATTCGGAAACTGGTCTTTTCAAATACATATTCAAGAATTGGACTTTTTTTTTTTAAAAAAAATGATGTTTGTGTTAACAGACGTTAGAGGATCATTGCAAATAGATAAAATTGCACCGAAAAAAAAAGATAGTGAGTAAAATTGCACTAAAAAAAGATTAGGGTATTGGGTGCTCCTAAAAAAAAGATTGGGGTGCTAAGTGCTTTTTTACCCTTGATATTATATATTGAATATGGAATAAGTTTTTAGAGGCCAAATTGTATGATCATTTCAAATGCTCCACATGCAAACAAGAACAATTCGCGATGGTCTGTTAAATTTATCAGTACTATTTTTTTCCTCTATCCAATCTGCCAGACTTACCTAATTTAGTTCTTATATTAAGAAATAAAAAAAATTGTTATCAATTTAAATGAAAAATAATATTATCCATGGTACATGTTTGGCAACAAACCCATGTATATAATGCGGCCAATGTTCTTGATCTCTCTGATTAAAGGGGCTCAATGAATAGTTTGTGTTCACATGGTAGAGACTTGTTTTAAATTTTGGCATAATTCTTTTTCTTGTGTTGCATATAACACAGTTTTATTACGTAATCCAAATTTGAGTTGCTTTGGATCCCAAGTAGAGTTTACTAATTACAATATGTTTTTTAATAATTTTTGTGAAATAATTTGAATTCAAAATTTTAATTACAATGATAAAGTTATTAACAATAATTTTAATGATAATATCAGAAAACTAAATAAGAATTTCGTACACAAATCTATCATGAAAAATAGATAGAAATATTATTTGCTAAATAAAAAGAAGAAGAAAAAGATGCAAGTTGGCGGAACTAAACATAATGAGTTATAGCATGTATAATTTATCTTAGCAGATATGTATTGGAAAAATGATTGTTGTTGACCAAAGAGTTTGATATTAAAATTTTGAAAATCCCATGTTTATTAAATTTGTAGATTGAGTATTTAACAAGGAACAAAAAATTAGACCGGATACTAAACAGATTAAGATAGTGTTCAAGGGTCAATTGGTCGGACCGGAATCAACTTAGGTCCAACCAGTCATATTAAAATAATATAATTTAATTAAAAATAACAAAATATAACAACATTTACAATCACTAATAACAAAATATAAGAAAATATGACAAAAATTTAATTGTAACAATAACAAAGTATAACAACATTGAGAATTTTGATTTTTATGATTCATTATTAATTAAAATTAATAATCATTGATACCAAAATTATTATTAAAATTCATTTAAATTTATAGGGGTTGATATATTAGGAGCTGTATGGGCAAAAATAGAACTAATAACAACTTAATTATTCAAATCAATTTATTACCGGTTCAGCCTGTTTTTAACCATTTTCACTGGTTCACACCGGTTTGACCGGTTCTCTATCGGTTCAACTCCCTTCCGGTTTAGTATCTAAACCAAACCGGTTCACTGACCGGTTCACCTGTCGGTCTGAACCGGTTTTTTGTTCAGTTGTATTTAGTATAATTTACTTTTTTGGTCTTATTTATAAGTCATTTTTAACAATATTTTATATAGACCAAGAAAAACTTTAAATTTCATTAATTTTCATTCAAATTCAACGACTTTTCAATTTTATCCCTATTTAACATATACTATACCTCATGCAAACAAAGTTAACATAATAATAAATGAAGGGTAAAATTATATATCCATACAAAAAATTTCTCTCAGTACCCTATAAATAAAATAAAAAAATGTCTTCTCTCTTTACCTTATAAATAGGACCAAGGAGTATAGTATAAATATCCTTACATTTTTTTTGAAAAAAAGGAATTCATTGACCGAAAAAATATGTACAAGGGAAAACACCAAAGAAAATAAAACGACTACAGAGTTACAGGTAGAAATATCCTTAATTTAAAACTGAACAGAGTGTTACATTTATGATATGATTATTTTGTCTATGAGAATATATTGAAGTGATTGTCCTGAAGTACTATGCACTTGCTAATATTGTATATTTTTTGTAGTTTTATTAGTAAGGTTAAGTTTACTTAGATAAATACTACCTACACTTTTTAATATAAGATTTCATTTGATTTTTATTTTGGTTCTAAATAAGATCTCAATCTATTTTATCTCTTATATTTATGAATTTTTTTCCAAGATAATTTTCTAATAATGGCAGTTTTAGCCAATATAACTTGATTAGTAAGAATATTTTTAAAATGATAATACATATTTATTACAAATAACTTAATTAACTTATTCGTTTAATCTATTCAAATTAATCAACTAGCTCTTATATTTAGGACCAAAGGTAGTATATAATGTTCAAAAGTTGTTATATGAAACAAATGCAAAATACTACTTCCGATCCTTAATAAAGACCTAATTAACTAATTTGAGGAGATTAAAAAATTAGTTATTTGTAGTAAATAGATGTTGTATTTTCTAAAATACACTTATTAATTATATGTGTTTGGATTATAAATTGATAATAACTCCTTAATATATACAATTACTATAGCGATTACTTGAGAAAAAAATAGATAAATATTTGTAACAAAATAAATTAGGATCTTATATTTATAAAAAAAACTAGTTTTTATATTAAGAATCAGACGTATTATATCATGGTGAATCTTAGAATAATCTTCATTGCTGCTTTCCCAATGCGCAAAGCAAGTAAAAAGTACTCCTCCGGTCCTTAATATAATCCTCTAATCTTTAATATAAGACTAATTGTTGAGTTGATTTGGTCCCAAATATAAGATCTATTTATCATATTTATCACTTTTTTCTAAATTACTTCTATGGATACTACTTCAACCATAATCAAGTAGAAAAAGGAGGAAGGATATTAAGGAAGATGATTATCGTATTTTAGGAAAAATATGTCATATTTCTTATAATTAACTAACTTATCTAACTTCCTTAATATAATCAAATTAGTTTAATAGGTATTATATTAAGGATCAGAGGGTATATTGGTGATTAACATGGGTAGAAAATATGTTAGAGAAGTATATTTCTACGCATATGATGACAATGGTTTTTTTTTTTTTGGGCCAGCTATATGATGAAAATTCATCATGTATGGTTTTTGCGTAAAGTAAATCTATTTAAAGAGTGTTTAGGTAAAAATCAAATCATTATTTAAAAAATAGTTTATAAAGAAAAAGTTACTTTCAGAATGATTTTAGAAGAATAGATTTTATGAAAAAAATGATTTTGATAAGATAAGAATGTTTGAATGGTCATTATTATTATCGCTTTTTTCATATTCTAAAAAAGACATAAGTTAATGTGTAATTACATAAAGAACTAATTTTAATTTATATTTTTATTAAAAAAGTTGAATAGACATATGTAAGACCAATTTTTTTTACTACTTCTAATTCTTAATATAAAAATTAGATAATTAATTTGTAAATATTAAGAAAATTATTTAATATAGTTATTTGTAATAAATACTTGTTATATTTTTTAAAAATATTCTTTTTAAATATGTGCATTGAAACTACCATTTGATATTAAACATTTTATCATGTGTAATTACTATGAGAACTACTTTAAAAATATATGTAAATATAAGAAGAAAAATGAATTGAGATTATATTTAAGACCAAATTAATCTTCAGCTAACTTTCATGTTAAGAACTGAAAGTAACATTTATATAATTAATTAATAATTAATATTACATTTGGTCCTAATTATAAGACTTTGTTTGTAATTTATATATTTTTTTAATCTTTTTTCCATTTATTACAAGGTCATAGTTGGGCACAACAGTGTCTTTCTCTTTTCTAACCTACTTATTATTTTTAACTAATTTTAAATGATAATTTATTATTTGTAAATTAGTATATTTAAATCTTATAATATTAATAACGAGGGAGGAGTTTTTTTTTTTTTTTTTTGCCTGATGCGTATCTCTTTCTGTTTTGTTTTCCAAGGACAAATGAATGAATTGTTGTCCCCATGATCACAGAAACGTTTCAGATTGTTTTTTTTTTTTTTTAAAATCGAATCGAATTAATTGAACCAATATTTTCGCATAACGGAAACAAATGATAATACTGATAATTTATTTATTACCCCACGCTCTTTTGTCATAAGCAAAACGCCAACGCCTTCATCAAGCAGCCACGGAAAGCCACCAAGCGAGCTAGCAAACGAGCGATGTGAGAGAGAGAGAGAGAGAGAGAGAGAGAGAAGAGTGAAGGCGAGCTGTATCTGTAACTGTCTCCACGGCTTGTTTCTTCTCTCAGATCTTCCGAAATCCCTAGCTATTACTTCCTTCAACATTCTTCTTCATCTTCTCACTATTTGCATCATCTCCCTTACATGTAAAATTTGTTCGATTTTCTTCAGTTCACCAATCTTTTCCCCCCTTGTTTGTTTCCTGAGGAAATCTGGATTTCGGCGTTGTGTGTTTGGTTTTGTCCATTTTTGGAGCCTTTGGTGCTATTGGTTTGGGTTTTGGCGGTTCTCTGGGAAAATTTTTTGATCTGGTTTCTGCTTCACCTTTTGGCGCTTTTAGTTAATTGGATTGTCGAGGAATGGTTTTCTGAGGGATTGGTAACTTTTGGGTTTAGTAGTTTATGATGCGGTTGTAGTTTATTGAAGTATAGTAGGATATGGATGATAGAGGTGGCTCATTCGTTGCTGTCAGGAGGATTTCGCAAACTCTTGAGCGCGGCAACACCTGCCAGTCAGCTTCCGGTAAATGTATTAAATTTAAATTTCATACTTTTTATCCTTTTTTCTGTATTTTTGCGATCCTCTCCCACCCTCCTTCCTCTGAAGTTTTCATTTCTGGTAAAACGCATTATATTTCATCACAGTTCATCGTTTTCTGTATATTTTGCGACTCTCCCTGAAGTGTTGTTTTCAGTCATTTCGTGTTGACAATGGTCTTAAATTAATAATGCATTTATCTCTATTCGCAATTTTATGAAGTACCGATCTCGGAATCGAGATCGAGTCATGTATGAGAAGCTTGATCATTGTGCAAGTTAAATTTGCATGATGCTTGCTGGTATTTCAAATTGCATCGGTGGGTAGGTAATTTCATATTGCTGTTTTTTTTTTCCCTTTTTAGTATGGATTTTTTTGGTTTATACTTTTATGTATATTTAAATATTTTTGGCAAAATACATCTTGCGCGATTTTGGGGGGCAAAAAAGTCTTGCGCGATTGACAAAAGCGCATTCGAGGCACCTACACCCTTTTACTTCACTCTGACCTTTGCTTTCTGACCGGTACATGCGCCCTCGTTCGGTTTGATTGAATAGATTCAAACTATTGATCGAGTTCTTTTCGCTTTTATTTTTTCCTTTTTTCTGGGGAATATTCCATCCTTTTGAGCACAAGAGCTCTTTTCTATGCTTAATTTCTAAATGCTATCTATTAAATGGTTATCTCTTGATCTAACTTTATGTCGCGCACCTATACAGCCAACGCCTTACTGTACATGTATTTTGACTTCTGCAAATCTATAATATGAAGCTGGGAGATATATATATTTTATGAGCGAAGCCGGGATAATTTATTGCAATGCTAGTCTTATCATAAAATATGAAGAGGATACTAATATAAAATTTTATCAAGCCATACTATTCATGAGCCATGAAGAACGGGGATCATTTTTTCGATCCTGTGCCGTGCATGGAACCACACTAGTTATAAATAAAGTGAGGTGCTGATCTTTTAATTCTCTGGTTCTGCTTGAAAATTTTTTAAAAAAATATTCATTATGTTTTGGCAAAAGCGCTGCTTTTTCTGTTGTGTTGGTTCTCAGTTTTTGGATCATGTGTCTCTCCTTTGAGGGTTGCTGGGCCTGTGCAGTGCTTCCGAACCATAGTAATTGTGAATAAAGTGAGACGGTGGTCTTTTTATCTCTGTGAAGCTGCTTGAAATTTATATTTATTATGTTTTTGGAAAGAAGTGCTGCTTTATCGGATGCTTTGCTTTGGTTCAAAGTTTTTGGATCATGCCAATGGCATTGTAGCCTAGTGGTATCAATGCTTCCTATCTAGAGAGGTCATAGATTCAATCCCGCTTGTAACCTTAGGCTGTTAGTGCTTGCCATTCTAATTAAAAAAGAAGTTTTTGACCATGTATATCTCTTCATTTGAGGTTGTCTGTGCATGCAAATCAACGGTAGCACCCAGATTTTACCTTTGTTTGCACTTTGCAGTAATGAATCATAGGCCTAATGCTGAATTTGTTGAAAGATTATTCTTAGTTTAAGTAAATTACTGGGGCTTGAAAGCCTTGAGGGGTAAAAGGGATAGGAGACATATGACACATTAATGGCAGGCTACTTTAGGTAATGTACTTAATTTATTATCAACTTATCAATTTATTTTAATTTTTCTCTTTACTTTTTTTTTTTTTTATCATTTGCGAGGATTTAATGTCAAACTCTATGCTTTTCCATTTGGTTCTTACCATCCGATTTCTCTCACTAGAGTTGACATGTAATATTTTTAGTCAAATGCTATACGTGCATTAGGCAACTTGTAATCTTTCTGATTTCCTTGAAAACATGTAATATGTGCCTACTTTTAGAATTGACATGAAAGTCAAAGTGTACTTTCTGTGGCATATACTGCTCAACCATCAGTACCATTAACTTCTTAATATCCTCTCCATAATGTCTTTTGTAGTTGGGCCTGAATGATAGTTTGTCATCAGGTTATATCCTTTTTCCTTTTGCCTGAAATCAAAAAGTTTTCTATATGCTGCTGTAGTCTAAGAAGCTTAATGGATCCGATTTCATTTTACTAAGTAGTCTAAGCCAATGAACCATCATATACTTAGAATGATATATTACTTTTTAGAACACTTAGTATTTCCTTGTGGCCATAAACTTATGGACATTTTATTTGTTTACAGCTGAGGCTGTGGCAGGATCAACAGCATGGCTTGGAAGAGGATTATCTTGTGTTTGCGCACAGAGGAGAGATAGTGATGCTCGTCCCTCTTTTGATTTAACCCCATCACAGGTAATAATCTTGTTATTTTGAACACTGATGAAATAGTTGAAGAAGCAATTTTGTTATTATGCTGTAGGAAGTTTCAGCAAATTGAATTATGTATAAGAACATGTGATATTTAGTGATCAAATTTTAAGGTTTTCTGCTGCTGCAAAATTTCACTTGAGTCCAGATTGATTGTAATATTTTATTGGAGTACAGGTTATCAGTATTCTTTTGGAAAGATAATGATATTCAGAGTCAAGTTATTCAATCTGTTCTATGAATGATGGCCCTGCCTTTTGTTCTTTGGTCTTGTATAAATAGGACAGTATATAGTAGATCCATCAAGGTCAATAAATAATGTTACACAAATGACCTATCTTCTCTTGCCTCCAAGTGAATGTTGCAGTTACAATGTTGCTTCATTGAAAATTGAGGGCAATACACTGTTTAGTCAGTCCATCTCTTTGATTTGTTCTTTCTCGAACAAAAAATTTCTGCTTCTTTTGTTTGGTTCAGTCTTGGTGTGTAAAAGATATCTTGCCTTTAGGTGGTTATATAAAAGGAAAATTGAAGAACAAGTTGTATTAAACTGTGTTTCTTAGTCAAAATTAATTTTTCATGGCTTGTGGCTTTCTTGTTTCCTGGTGGAACTCATAGGTGTCATGACACCTATGATTCGCATGATTGGGTGTGTTCTATTAATTTTTCATGCCTTTTGTTGTGTTCATTTTAGAATAGAAGTAATATCTCTAGTTTTGACAGCCTTGTTTTATTAAACATCATAATTTGTAACTTGGCCACAACAAATCATTGTATTGTTGAACTTGGACTCTCAGGAGGAATGCTTGCAGAGGCTGCAGAACCGTATAGATGTTCCTTATGATAGCTCTGTTCTTGAGCACCAGGTATCTGATTTGTTAATAATATCAAGTCTTTGTAAATGATGTTGCAATAACTATTAATTGTGTTGAAGAATTCATCTTTATATGTCCATGGCTTTATGTGTTCTCTATTCCTTAGTACATGGGCAATATGGTAGGCTTTATATGTTGTCTATTCCTTATTACATGGGCAATATGATATTCTTAGACTCTGGTTTGCATGTGGTAATTTTGCTTTATTTTAGGAGGCTTTAAGGGCCTTGTGGAATATTGCCTTTCCTGAAGAAGAACTTCATGGCTTGATATCTGAGCAATGGAAGGAGATGGGTTGGCAAGGAAAGGATCCTTCAACAGACTTTAGGTGGGTATTTTGTTTTCTAACTTCCTGATCTTGTCAGCTATCTAACTACATCTTATTTTTAATGATTTATTATTTGGTTTATTTTTCAGGGGCGGTGGGTATATATCTTTGGAGAATTTGCTATTTTTTGCCAGGAATTTTCCAGTATGGTCTCCTTTTCTGTTTTCTCTTCTTCTTCTTTTTTTTAAATTATTATTATTATTATTTTGAATTTATGCTTTGAGGAATGTTTAAGAGGCTTAGCATTTTGAAATGGAAGGTCTTCTGGCTTGAGTAAGTAGTAGCTCATGTGAAAAACTAAAAAAAAAAGTAACAGTTTAACAGGTTTCAATATGTCAGGTTTCAATATGTCTGTAAAAATTGTAGGAAGTACATTGTTTACTGTGCAAACTGCTAGTTTATCTCAAAATGAACGGTCCGCTTAGTCAGTAAAAGTAGAATGTAACAGAAGATGAGAACAGAATTGTGCAGGAGGCTATTTATTTGCTTGAAGGATGAGTCCTCATTGTTAGCCCTAGCCCTGCTTCTTGGTACTTGAATTGAATGGTTCATTAGGTAGCTGTTTGGTGCATTTTTAAGATTTTCATTTTTATCATGTCAATAAAGTTATCAAAGAAATAATGAAACATGTATTTTATTTCATCTACGAAATCTAAAAATTAGACATGTAATTTGTTCCGTGTAGGTTTTAGTTGAGACTTGAGACACCACCAAAGTGATGTCATCCTATGTCACTATGGAGTGAATACCATTATACCAGAAACAGTGATCTCGGATGTCAGAATGAACATGTCGTGGCTTCTGGATGGTTATTGATTAATATTAAAAATTAAGTTAATTCTCAATAAATCTGAGCCTGCTTCTTCATTGGGAACTAATTAAATACTTTCATATTGGGGCAAAAAACATTGCATCAACTATGGTGTACTGTTTGCATGTTTGAATTCGTAGCCGCTTTAGATATCATTCTCCTGTTGACTAAGCATATTGTACATGTTTGATATGTTATCTACTTTCGTATCAAGACTTGGTATGAATGTGGCATGTGCTTATTAGTTTATACTCTTTCAGGGATCGTAGGTGTGTTCCTTGCATCTTTCTGATCATTGGTCCATGCATGATGTTTCTCTGTTGCTTTATTATAGTCAAAATCCCCAAAGAATAGTAAAATTTCATCACCCTAAAGTGACAGTAGTGTTTACTATTCATGTCTTTGTCAAAGAGGTAAAACTTCTTGTATTGCAGAAATCCTTCCAGGACCTTTTATGGAAGCAGGAAGGAGAACGATCAGCATGGGAATATCCATTTGCTGTTGCTGGTGTGAACATCACCTTTATGCTAATCCAAATGCTTGATCTTGAAGCAGGTTTTCATTTCTGTTACCATAACCTTTTATTATTATCATTGTTCATCAAATGCCTCTGGGCTTTTTAACACTTTCCTTTTTTGAACTATGATAATGTATAGTACTGCACCAAGCAGAACTCAAACAAAATGTGATCTTTGGCTTTCACCAGTGTTTAGAGTTTTATATGATGATATGAATGAAGATGCTTTTGCTGGTTTCCATTTTCGAGAAAACCAGACGTAACCTGTCATTTGTACCTGAAAGCTAAACTACTGCCTAATCCAGTCATAGACTATAAATGGTGCCGTTGAATTGGTCAAACTTGATCAAGAACTTATCAAAACGAGATCAAACTGGAGGATTAAGCATGTGTTCAACTACTACAAATTGTAAATTTATTAGATTCGTTTTCACATATTTAGATTTAGATTTCATATTTTCTAGCTTATTAGAAATTTTTTTAAAGGATAAACAAGCTTTATGATATAATATTATCTTGTGATGTTAGAGATGAAATGCGCACACACACACATATATAGGAAAATTAATCATTTTGTCCCATATTTTTAACTTAGTTGTAATCCTTGCACTTTAAGTCGTTGTAACTCAGTCTTTATAGTTTTAATCATTTGAAAATTTAATCCTTGGGTTTTATGAAATATATAATTTTATTTTCTAAAATATAAGGGCCAATATTTTAAACTAGTTAAAGCGATATGGATTGAGTTGTACTGAGTTAAAGTTCAAGAATTGAGTTGGACTGAGTCAAAATTCAAAGATTGGGTTACAACCGAGTGAAATTATAGAGACCAAAAGATTAATTTTTCCTATATTATAAATACTCTATTCATAAAATTCAACAATTCCATCGTCCTGGTGGTGCCATATATAGTAGTTTAACGCTTTAGATCTGCTCATTGGAGAGATTTTTTTTATTTTGTGGTGGATTGATATTGTTATTGGCAATTTGCATATAATAAATCTCTTGTGACGCAAGTCATTTGGGGCAATCCGAAGTAGCAAGACGGAGTGAGATATAGGTATCAGTAAAGTAAAAAAAAAAAAAAAAAAAGGAGAGAGAGAGTCTGGCTACACTTCTTTTTATGCAGGCTGATGTACAATTGATGTCTTTTCAAAGCGATGAATTGAGTTGAATTTTGTTTCGTTCAAGAACTGAATTCAGTTTATGATATTAATTGTTAACAATATGCTTTGGGCTATACAGTCAAGCCCCGGACAATGGTGGGAGGCTATACAGTCAAGCCCCGGACAATGGTGGGAGCAACTTTCCTAAAACTTCTTGCAGGTAGCCTGTATTATGCGTATTTTTGTACTTAGATTTTTTCGTCCCTCTTCTATGATGGAAGAAAGGGGTAGGATTTGAATTTGGTCATATTTGAATGCTAACATCTAAACTGTAACACTTTATGGGACTTCCAAATATGCAATGTGTACAGCAATTAGCCAGAATAAAGAAAATATTTTTATGCGAACTTTTCTCTTCAAGGTCTGAAACTTTGTTTAATTATTACATCTAGTTAGCTGTTTAAATTAACTACATTCTTTCATTATCGTCTGACAGAAAATGAATCAGCTTTTGATCTACTCTATTGCATAACTTTTAAGCTGATGGATCATCAATGGCTTACCATGCGAGCATCATACATGGATTTTAATGTAAGTGTTATCTGGTCTGAATGCTTCTGGTAGAAATAGGAAAATCCAAAGTCATGTGAATTTAAATTTTGCGAAAATTGCATTCACTTTCCATGAGCTCAAAAACTTGCCATCGTGCTCTCTCTAGTTTCAACAATTTTTCACTAACCTCCTTTAAGTTTTTGAGCACTAACTTTTGGTTACTTGTGCTGCATTGATATTTGATTAGGCTATTGGGTTCTGAGTTTCTAGAAGCACATTTTTGTGTCAACGTAATGCATGGTTGGCTAGCAATTTTGGTGTTACTTAGGGAGAGAGTTAAGTATATATTGAAACTAGGAGGTGTGCACGTGTAGATTTTTGAGAACATCAAGGGAGATAAATGGTTAAAAGTGATTTTGAGGTCTGTATCGATAATGATGTGTGGGAAGAAAAACTAATATCAACTTTGAAAAATACAGTGAGGCGTAAATCTTAACGCGGAGGGCAATAACTCTTGCAAATGAAGAGAGAAGATTTTGTTAAGGCCATCATAATTTTAGGTTAACTTTTGTCGTCCTAAGGATCATGGAGAAATAACCATAGTGATTGTTTGAACCGAGGTTGATTTATAGAAACCCCTGATTTTTCTCCATAGCAGTTGGCATAGATTTTCATATTTTGATTCTTGGTGATTGGTGATGGTGACTACGGCTATTTTAATTTATTTTATGTTATGAACAGAGAGTGATGAAAGCGACGCGTCATCAACTAGAGAAAGAACTTCTCCTTGAAGATATTACACGACTAGAAGATTTGCCTTCATACCAGCTTCTTACGAGATAGAGAGTGCACTAGGTTAGCTAACAGGTTTTTGTAATTGATCTTATATGCCATTTCTGCCAATTCAGGATGGAAACCTGTATTTCTGTGGCCATCTTAAGTGTGATGTCCTCAAGATTTTGGATGCAGCAGTAAAGATTTGTAATCCAGTTAGAGGCTTTGACTCCTCTAAGCACTTTCAAGGGCAAAGTGCAAGTGATTGTTGATGAGAAAATTGAGGTTGTTGGTCTTTGCAAATTCATATAGTTGATATTACTGAGTATTAATCTGAACCAAAAGAAAATGGAAATAATTATTGTTTGTTTATTTGCATAATTATTGGAGCTTATTTCTCCTTTATGATATGTTCTCAGATAATTTTCTTTGCTATGAAGTATAAACTGTTACAGTGAACTTTGAAATTGGATTGGCAAATAACTTATTTGGAGCATGCATAATTAATTATGTATCATAATCCCCTATTTTGATGAAAGAAAAATATAAATTGCTTGAGTTTTATCTAAAATTATTGTTACTCAAGTCGGTTTAATTTAAAATATTAAATTTGAACAACTCCAATTGAAACAGAAACTAGATAATCGGCCTAAAAATAGGAATCTTAGATTCCTACTTATGATTGCAAAAATATTTGAAAAAGTCAATTTTCACTTTTGTAATTTTAGATGAAAGGGTGTCTCTGGTTTTTATGTTATGATCAAGAATCAAAAGTTAAACCAACAACATAACCACAATTCTCAAAGGATTACTTATGGTCAGTTTCTATTCAATCTCTGGTTTTCATGAGCATTAATAATAGTCAAACCTTAAATTCAAGTCCACACGAGTAATAATAACGTCGAGAATAAGCCAACTCAACCCAAGAATAAATTTGACATGAACGTAGGTGCAATTCTATTATTTTAGCTTACGTACAAATAACAATACATTTAGATAGAAATTTTTATTGAGATTTACTAATTTCAAACTTCATTTCATGAAAAATTTTGAAATTATTAAATAAAAAATCAGGTTTGGAAACAATACATTAATAGGTTTTGATAACACTGAATTTATAAATAACAACATTTTTTTTAGAAATTCATTATTTTTGACTTAGAAATTTCAAAATTTTTTATGGGATTCTCCTATTTAAAATCTAGAAAACATAAAAATTGAAATTGAGAGAGAATAATGGAATATGATTAAAAATTAAAGGGGAAAATTCTAATAAAAACATTGGTCTTATTATATTGCTAAGGCATTAATTATTATTTTGTGAAGAAGTACATAAATGAATGTAATATATATTTATTAATATTATGTTAAATTTAATAGGATTATTTGATGATAATTGATTTTAGAGAATTTGCTCAAAATGGATTAAAATTTAAGGACATAATCCCAATTCATATTTTAGGAAAAAAGAAAGAAAAAGAAGATTTAATGATAAGACTTGGTGACATTAAATAAAAGTATTTTAAATAATTTTTTTCAACTAAAGGATTATATATATAAATAAAGAGCAAGGCAAAATAAGGAAGCATCGGTTCAAAATGTGAATTGGTGAATGGCGAGAGCAATGGCCTGGGTTCTGCACTCTTCCGGTTTTTTTACAAAATACGATAAATAGTAAAAGTATATGCTAAAATACTACACTTTTAAAACTATTTACCAATATGCTGCACTAAAATCTTTCTTGGCAAGAACAACTTTCAAATTATATATAAGTCGTTCTTTGGTGTGAACGATTTCACTTTTAAATTTTTTTAAATCAAAAAGTGAAATCGTTCTTGGCGTGAACGATTTTGAAATCGTTCACGCCAAGAATGATTTCATTGTACTTGCATGCAAAAATAAGAATTCCTAACATGCTCTCGTGAGGCTACAACATATATAGTAAATATTACTTCATCTGACTTATATTGGATTAAAAGTTAAAAACCCCATTTTTTTAATTCTTTTCAAATAGAGCTTGATGAAATTTTCTATCATTTCATCTTCTTTTTATCTTTCTCAAACCAAACAATATGTAACAAAAAAAGTTATGTTTTGATTGTAAATTTTTAATTGTAGCAATTAAGTTGTAAGACTAAATTATTATTATTATTATTTTGGTCACAAGCATAAAAGACCCATGCCCAATACTTGATTTCTTGTCAAACGGAACAAATGCCACACGACAGGTTTTTTTTTTAAAATACTACAAGTAGTAAAATTATATATCAATATGTTACACTTTTAAGAGTATTTACTAATATTTACACTTAAAATCAGTTTTCAGGTGAATAATTTTTAAAGTCATTTATCTGGTGAACGACTTCTTCATAATCTGTCCTCAATATGCGTGAGGTGAATGAAAATCGTTCTTCTAGTGAACAACTTCAAAACTTCATCTATTGTTGAATGACTTCTCCCCTTCTCTCCTGATTAAAATGATTAGTATAATGATTTATCAATCATTTGAATGACAAAATCATGACTAATAATGAGAGAGAAAAATGTTATAATGATGTTAAAACTAATTGTGAAATAAGTATAAGATGTATATTAATTAAAAATAAAAAGTAATAAATAAAGTTTAAGTTTATAAAGAAAAAATTATCCACCTTACTGATAGTGACTTCCAGTACCACATCTTGGCCTTCTTCTTATACGTTGTGGGCGTTGTTGTTGTATGTCAATTTCTTGAGATTCAAATGTCTCATTTGTTTGTGTAGTTGGCGTGTTCAAATCAAACCAAGGTGATTTATTTAAATGTATAGATTGTCAAGGAGTGACAAATGCTTCATTTGATGGTCCACCATGTTCAAAAGTAGAAGCATTGTATTCAGCTGAAAATAATGTAGGATTATCTAATAAAGTCATGAATGGTTGAAATTGAGAAGGATTGGCTGAGTTGGAAGGGGATGATGATGAGGGTGCCATGTAATGAGACTCAAGTTGTGTAGGATCGACAGAGGTGAAGGGGGATGATGGTGACGGTGATATGTCAGAAGCCTGAGTAAAAATTGGAAGTTCCTGTTCCCTGCATTTTCATTTTCAATTATAGGTTGGGTAGACAAGTAACCACCGTGTCACTTGCTCGTCTATCACGAGGAATTTGTGGCCGAGGCAACTCAATTGTTGGTGGAGCGGGCTGAGGGTTCATATTAAAACGTTTCTCTAAGTGCAAGTAAAATGTTACGTTGGTTGCGAGCAACCCTATCTCGATAATCAACACAACTAGGGCATGTTGAACGAGAATTAATTGAAAGCCTGTATAGCTCCTCTGCTATGTCAGACAGAAAAAAAATAATAAGATATAAGATAATAACACTTTTTGTGAAAAGAAAATGATATTAATGATGAAAAGATGAAAAACTTACCGCCGACCTGTATCGCCACTGATACGTTGAATCCATCATCTTGTATGTCTCCAATACCATTGCATGTACTGAGATGTTCGATCAAGTTCATCAAATGCTATAGGAGCATTACAAGCCATCTATCCCATGCTTGAATGAAGTCTGCGTATTTGTCAATCCAATTGTAGTTGTTCTACCTCGTAATTGGATCGTGTGGTAATTTCTCAAATGAACAGGCATGGAAGGAATTGGTTGCTGACAAAATTGTCGTAATACACGATCAGGATGATGCCATTCTATAATATTAAAACATATTAAAGGACTGAAGCACGCCAAATTTAGGTGTTGCCAAGCAATACTCAGAAATCAATTGGTGCACATAAGGAGATTCATATGGCTGCCATATTATCTCATCATCGGTCATTTTATCCAGAAAGCTCCTATATCGGATTAAAGATGCAGCAAGTGGACGTGGGTTTTGTCTCACATTTTTCTATTTGTTATTACCAATCTCACATTTTTCTATTTGTTATTACCAAAAGTAATGTTAAAAATTATATAATTTTAATAATATAAGAGCATAACAAATATTTGGTGAATAAATTTAGCATACCTAAAACCCAAAGGAGGTAAGAGAGGGTAGATATTAGATTGTGGATTGGATACCTAGGTTGTTGTGGTGCTAGCATAGGAAAACGATCCCATGCCATAAATGAAGTAATGATAAGCATCCTTCAATCCCATCATCAGTTGGGTTAGTAGCATTACATAATTCTCTGTATAGGTGAGCTAAAACTGCTGATCCCCAACTATATTTTCCAGCTTCTTAAGATCATAAAGTAGTGAAAGGTACATTAGATACACCCTGCTACCCGATCTATCTAGCATGAGATATCCACCAATCAACCTGAGGATATATGCATGAGTGAATTGTTGAACTTGTATATCATCCGCATTATAAGTAGGTGATTAAAGTTCTCTTCCAACCAACTTATAAGTAATCACTGCCCACTTAGTCTATTTGCAGATGATGTAATACTTAGAAACATTCACACATGTCTTGCCAATTAAAGTCGGTTCGGCCAATAACGGTCATTCCTTCACATGGAAGGCCCAATTGTTTAGCTACATCCTCTAATGTTATGGTGCATTCTCCACGTGTAGTGTGAAATGTATGAGTCTCAGACGCCACCTCTCACAAGTGCTGAGACCAAACCTCGATCATAATCAAACTGTCCTACACAAGCAGCACCATAAAATCCAGCTAATATAAGATATTCAATTATTTGATTAGGTGGGTTAATCATTTGATTAGCGTGCATGACTCGTCTAGTGTGTAGGACCCTGTTAACCTATAGTGGAAAAGGGAAAAAAAATATTATATGGAAACATCAATGAAATAATATATAAGAAATAATTTTACTTACATTATCATTCCACCACGTTCAGAAATATGTTGGGTTTGCAAGTACAAAAGAGAGTTATCCTCTGGGCTAGGATTTATCACCTCTTCTGGAAGTTGTGCCATTTTAAAATGTCTCTGCATAAGGTAAAGGAAAAATTCCAAATAATATAAAAGAAATCAAACTAATTATAATATAATCTTCATAAAACATAATGTTTTTATTACAAAAGTGAAATACATAATTTATTGTCGAGATGCTACACTTTGTGGACAAGTAGAACGGTTATGACCAACTTGTCGACATAATCCACACTTGTTAGGTTCATTGGGTGTGGTCCAATCCATCTCATTTCGTATTCGACTTGAGCGAGAACGTCCTTTATCTCTAATCATTGATGGGTTAGGTATTAGAAGAGGACAATCAATCTGTGGTCAGTACATCTCATCTCCCACTGGTTGGAACTCATTATTATAAATCATTTGCATGGTTTCCAACTGAAAAACAGGATCCACATATTGTAAATAGTGTATGCCTACTCATGCACAAGTA